TGTAAGCTGTTTACTGACGTTAAATGTTTCAAAAGAAATGTTTCAAGTTTGAAGAATTTTCATGAAATTTTTTGATTTTTTTTTCAACTTCACCACAATTCGGAACCAATTTTGGCTAACATTTTATTTGCCACAGAATAAAACTTTTTAGAAATTTTGCAGAGAAATGTTTGGCTTGGTTTAAACTTTTATAATAAAATATGACAATGAATTAAGACTGGATACATTTTTTTAGGAAGGCTTACCGAAATGTATTCAGCGTGTTTAGTAATTACAAATAATCAAAACATAAGATCTTTGTCAAAACATAAGTTGCAAAAGATTCACCTTTGGATAAAAATAATTTTAAAGTGTAAAGTTTGAAAATAACAATTTTCAATTTAATGTTCGATTTCTGACAAAGAGTTTGACCATGACTACCAAAAATATGAAAATCATATATTTGGCCTTAAACACAAAATGCTATTCGTAGAAAGAGGATATGATAGCTTATAAATCTATTTGATGCCCGACAATTTTTCCGAAACAAATTAAAACTGAAAACTGCAAATTATCTTAATTAACTTAATATAGTGGCAATTATACTCCTTATCGTAATAATTTCCCAGGAATTGAAGCTGAGTATGATGTATGGTTTAAATAGTAGTATAATAATAAATTGGATTAAGATATATTCAAAGACCTGTCTTGCTTATTAAATATGACAATAATATATTTGAAGTGTGTGATGGGGCGATTGGTATGTTTTTATTTGCTGGTGATGCTAAACTTCTTTCTGTAAATAAATCACTTGATGATCAAGTGTTATTGCAAGATTGTTTAGAAAAGTTAGTTGTTTGGTGTGATTTGTGGGATATAAAATTTAATGTTAATAAATGTAATGTAGTCCAGTATATCTTTTAGGGTTTACCATTTGATTATTTGATTTATATTATATATATATATATATATAGAGAGAGAGAGAGAGAGAGAGAGAGAGAAAGAAAGAGAGATATGGAGAAAGAAGCTGCGTTATTAAGTACGTGAATAATTATAGCGAAAATTGTTGGAAACAATTTTGTTAACGATAATGGATGTACGTACATGGAATCACATTTAAAATAAACAAATGAAAATTGTTATATAACGTTAAAATTTTATTTGTTTGAGAAATTTTTCTAGAGAATAGTGGAATAAAATTTAAAAAAAAATTTGTCAACGATGAATTTTTTTCTTACTACCATTTTAGCGGTCACGCTCGTGATGACAGTCGGTTCTGGTGTCGATGGTTAGGAGGAATTTCGTTTCGATATTACCATTTCGGTTAATCATATTTTTGTAGTCAATTTTTAACCGCACATTACGTCAAACGAACAAAGTTATTTAAAAGTCTAATATGTTTTTCAAATATAATTGACATAAGGCTATTTTATTTAAAAAAAAATTAAACATTATTAATGAGTTTAATAGATAAATAGGCCCATTATTAACTGTTTGACTATTTTTATTTTACTTCGCTATGTTTAACGTACATTCCACTTATTCACCGCTTTCCTATTAAAAATGCTAGACAAGTAGTTAGGTTTTGGAAGATTAGTTAAATTGTATAGTCCCAAGTTATCCTCACGGTCACTATCATACCCATTATAAACTTTTTATTCTTTATGAAACAAATGTCATTCAGCTGAATGCAGTGTCGATATTAACGAATGCCCAAATGGACCATGCGACCATGGTAATCAAGCCGATACAGATGGGTGTCCCACATGTAATTGCAATGCGAATCCAGGTTAGACCCTTTTAATCTGACTTTTAAAGAATAATAATAAAAAAAAACTTCCAACTTATTAAAACTTCAAATCAAGTTTTTAACACGAGTGTCATCTTACAGTTACTATAGTTGTTATGTTTGGGAGGAAGAATTAAACTGGTGTACACTAAATTAACCAAGTTATCTCAAAACTAATAGCTTGGGGAGGCAACAATTTCAATACGATCTACATTCAAGATTTTATAGTCCACATGTATCTATAGGATATGCATATAAAAACATTTAAGAGCCTCGGCCTTATACATTTGCTTAGTTACTTGATAATTTTGAGAATTGACGGTGAGAACAACCAATTCTCCAAAATTGTACATCATTCAAACATTAATGCATCTTTTAAAACTTCTACGCAGATCAAAGCCAGTGTCATACTTGCGCTGATGACCCTACATGCGAGCAACTGCCTGGGATAGAAAATGACGGGTGTCACCTTTACATTTGCTCATGAAAAATCTGATAACGAAAATGTTTTTATGTTTCAACTTGTGAGATTAATTACAAACTAATAAATGATAAACAGTTTATGATTTTTAAATGTTTTGAAGATGATGATAACAGTAAAAATATGAAAATTTTAATTCTGTTTTGTGTGTTTTTTAGAGTTTTTCTTTCAAAAACGACACTAAACGTTCAAGATTTTTCTTTCATGTACATTACAAAAATATAATATAATTTTTTATTGATAAATAACTGATTTAAATCAATTCTAAAAACATTCTCATAAATTTATTGATTTCTTCTGGTCCCATAAATAGCCACTATACCCACAACTTAATCGGTTGTAAGAAACAACGAGCGAATATGTTATTTTTATCGAAATAAGTAAACTTACCAAGAAAAAGTTAAGTTGATTTTTTAAAAGTGTGAATTGATTTTTTGACTAAGGATAAATTAATAATAGTATACGTCAATTTTGCTGACTGCAATAAAACATGTGATCTTCATGTATTTTGGTCTGCAGATTCTAAATATCATATACCCATTTTAATCAGTCATGTCTACTTTTTGGACGAAATGGAAAAAACGAATATGATATTATTATTAAGTGAATAGATAATAAATTTTTGTTTCAACCAGAGACCAAAACTTGTCAAATTCACAGCCTCCAGCTCTTAAATAATTCTCGAAAGAATTCTACTCAGTGGTAAATTTGAAATATCTGATAAGGCAACGCATAGCAGATGCTACATCCTGATTTAAGATACTATGATAGCGAAAATTGGGTAGGTTTTTTTATTTGATAACGACAACGATGACAAAATACACGCTACAACAATAAATGTTATATCCTAATTGTTGTGTGCCCGTGTGTTTGTGTGTTTGTCTAGTGTGTGTGTGTTGTGTGTGTGGTGTGTCTAGTGTGTGTGTGTGGTGTGTGTATACAAGCTAATCAAAATATTAGTGTTCAGGAATAATAGTAAGGGTTATTTCATATTAAAATTTGCTAATTTTTAAAACATTGTTGACATTATTTCAAATTAAAAAATTTTCAAATTGACAACAATGAAATCTGAATGTTCCTCGCTCCATAATTCAAATCCTTGCCCCGTTGAGACGATGACAGACGCACTGTGGACCGCACGGACAATTCAAGCTGCACTTCAATCCCCACATGCCTTTGTCACAAACTGCATTTCAAATTGGGATTGGCAATTTTGTGATGCTTTTTTTGTATAAATCAATCAAGGAGTAGAGGAAAAAATAGCGTATATGGTATAAAAAAACCATTTGTTCAAAATATGACAATATTTTTAATAAATTAGCAGAAACATTTTATACAATTTTAGATTTTAATCAAAATATAGACAATATAAATCAATCATTCAATTAGTTTATAAAGCGCTATTTCCGCGATGTTCAACAGCGCTCTTCAATGAATTTTGCAAACAGATGGGTCTTGAGATTCGCTCTGAACTTCGCAAGTGATGGAGAAGTAGTCAGAGAAGTAGGTAGAGAGTTCCAGAGAAAAGGGCCAGAAAAAGCAGAAGCAGATTTAGCAAAAGAGTGTTTAACACGAGTTAAGAAGAAGCGAGAACAAGAAGACGATCGTAGACCGGGGCGTTTAGGTTCAATCAATAAGTACTTTGGAAATAATTTAGATCGAGACTTATACATTAATGTGCAAATATTAAACATTATTTTATATTTAATAGGTAGCCAGTGCAAGAGAACAAGAGATGGAGATATATGAGAAAAGAAAAGGGCACGAGCAACTAGACGAGCAGCAGAGTTAAAAGCTTTATTTAAAGGATAGAGTGTAAAATCAGGAAGACCATAGTAGAGCGAATTACAATAATTAATCTTAGATAAGACTAACGAAGTAACAAGAAAGGGAAGAGTAGGATCGTCAAGAAAAAGCAAAAGTTTTTTATTTAGCATCACTATTAATCTGAGAAGAAAAAGATATACTAGAATCAAAGATAAAGCCTAGACTACAAAACTTGTATTTCGAGTACAAAAGTTTCAGTTCTGTGAGCAGGTCTGAAACCGGATTGAGACACAGGTAGCAAGGAGTTAGAGTTTGAATAAGATAACAATTGATTATAAACTACTTTGTCTACTATTATACAGATGAAAGTAATATTAGTAACAAGTCTATAATTAGATAAAGAGTAAGGATCTAAAGATGGGTTTTTATAAATAGGAATAACAATAGAACTCTCATAAGAAGTAAGAAATAATTTAGAGGTGAAAAGAGATAAATCTGTGAGATCCATCGAAATGTTTTGCTAACAAGATTTGTTTAAAATTGCTTGAAATATATGAAAATAAGCTAAAATGTCACATTTGAAACGCTGAACTAAAAAATAATTTTAACAATGACTAACCCGTATAAATGCTGTTTCTAAGACCCCCACCACAGATTTCAGTGGGATTGCCCAAACAAGGTGTGGTGCATCCAGTACCGACTCCATGCTTGCCGTAAGAATCATTGCAGGAACACTCCGAGTAGTACTATTCAACAAATTTTATCATCATCATATTAAAAGGCTAAAGGTTGAAGGTCGTTCTCTCTCTCTCTCTTACACTTGCCTCGAATGTTTCAACGACAAACACACACAGCGTATATGAATACGCGTGAAAACCACGCATATGATAAGCATTGATCTCTTTGCGGTCGAACCAGGTCACCGCAACAGAAAGACCACGCGGCTTTAACCCTTACGTCATCAAATTCGTCATTACATTGTCATCAAATCAATAAAATAAAAATTGCCTGAAGTCCAAAGAAGGTGTAGTTGAGGTTGAGACAGTAGAGGAGACACCAGGCCCGACTCATCTGATTATCAATAGCAAGCTGGAGCAGGTCCCTGTCCGTCTTCACATCCACGTAGCAGTTTATGTACCTGGCGCTGAATTCTGGGCACATGCAAAATTTTATTTATTGTTTTAAGAAGAAAATTACTAGGATAAAGAACAATTTAGTTACCGTCATGTAGAAGTTGGTTGCCTGATTTCTAAATTTTAAGATGAACATTCATGTTTGAGAATATTTATTTAGTCGGGGAAATAAATATTCTTCCTTTTTTCACTTTGTTTCAACATTAGATGTTCCAACAAAGTAATTAAAAAATGACTTACTTCGTAGAAAGTGCACAGGCCTGCAGCATCATGCACTTGACCAAGTTTGGTTCGATTTTTGAAGAGTTGACAGACTCTTCTCTCGAGGTGGTAGTTGCAGCCGACGCAACCAACCACCGCAGAACACATCGCTACACATTTCACGCGCGAATCATATGAAAAAACAAACTGCTCGTCTGCCACATCTACAGCGCAGGTTTTCAAACCAAACGAGTTTTTGTACGGTGAAAATGAATTAAAACTTGGCAAGGACTTGGAAGCAGTAACCAAGAACTTCAAGGAGATGGGGATAAACGCTAGCATAACCAACTTTTTGGGTGACATCTTCTCTAGAATGTTAAGCTCGGACTAACCAAATTGAAAGTTTCAGGGTTTATTTGACGTTTTGCAACACGTTTGGCAATATTTCAAAATTTTTTTTCACCAGAAAAATATTTATTGAATACGCGATGCATTGTTTAGTGTGATTTATTATTCGTCACGAACAATTGAAGAAAATTTCAGCGCGTTTGGAATGAATGTATCGTAAAAAAAACGCAGGTCAATCAGGTGTATGTGTGTGTGTGTGTGTGTGTGAGTGTGTCTGTGAGTGTGTGTATGTGTGTGTTTGAGTGTAGCTGTATGTGTGAGTGTGTCTCTTTTGATTATCATGGTTTGACGTTTTATTCAAACTTTTAGGCATATTGCAATTTATATGCATTAGAAATAAAAAAAAATTAATAATGATGCAAAATGCCATGAATTTGAGAAATGAAGTTGCACCGAGAAATACTATAACTCCCAATTTCTAACTGATATTGTTATATAGGTTATAGTTCTCCACCATATTATTTTAGTTATTGTTCAACTGCGGCTTATCAGATTATAAAACAATAAAAGTACACATAACCTCTGGTTGGTTTCTTTATTGTAGGTTTTTAGATTTATAATTGAAACATAATTTGACGTTGAATGTTACTAATATGTCGATTGAATTGAATCTCACTAATTAGCACTTCTGTTTCTCGACTTCTGTCTTGTTCTTGTTCTTCTGGCAATTAACTGGTTATTAACTATAGCAAACAATTAATCTTTAACTATACCATTGTATGAATTGTTTTATCTCCACCTACTCTCGCGTAGTTTCAGTCAAGCTCTTTTGTACTAACTATTTTGAGTTGTGCTGTCACCGACCATCGTTTAAAAAATTACAATCGGCCTAATGACAAATGGCCCGAGTTTGGCCTCTCAACGAGCATTCAATTCAATGGTTCAGTCGCATTTTTCATCTAGAAAATTCAAAATCCTAATTTGCCGATATATCTGTACTGTACATTGACATGAACAAATCTTTCCATTTTCTTAACATTCCCACTGCAAAATAGAAATTTTCATGACGCGGTTTTTAAAATACAGCACCGACAAAACTACAAAACGCTAAATCTGCATCGGATTTAGCAAGCAACTGATAGCATTTTCAATTGCGGATGCAGACTCCAGACGTCTTGAAGACGGTTGCGCGACTGACGGCATCTCAAAAATCGCTATATCATAATTGTTAGTCAGTGTTCTGCAAATGCTAATCTTCCACGTTGGCACACACTTAGCAGGTCTAATACTCTAATGTGAGGTAGAATCATTCATTAACATTTCAAAAAGTTATACATATAAATAACGTAGAAAAATATACATACTCTACTCACATGTGTAATGTAATTTTTTTTACTTTTCAACTAAATAATAACTGTTTCATCAGTTACTTTTTTTTCATTCACACATTTCCTATAAAATGCAAACAGTTTTCATACCTTTCAGCTTATTTAGTTGTCCATTTTTACCACATGTGCACCTGATCACGCACACATCACGCACGCACACACATCACACACAAAGACAAACACACACACTTTTATATTTATATATATATATATATATATATATATATATATATATATATTAAAAGATTTGTGTTGACGCTTGTCGTGAAAATTTTTTTTTAATTAAATAAAATGGTTGAGTGTAAATTAACTTTTAAAGGACAATAAAAACGACAAAAAGAATGAGTTAATTACGTATTTAGAGCAATATTATTTCATTTATAATGTAAATAATTTATATATTAATAAGATGCTTCAAAATTTAAAAAAAATTTAAATAAACAGGATCAATGTAATTTTTATGAAAGTCTGGTTTTAAAAAAATATTCATCATGACAAATTTATTTTTTTTAATTCAACGCCTAAACTTTAAAATTCACACGTAAATCACATACTAAAAATAAAATAATAATCAATAAAAAGTGATCCATTACGTTAAATGAAATTAAAAACATTTATGCAAATGTCAAATGATCAGTTAATTGGTACTTCTCAGTCGTAACTCATGAGGTAGTTTTGGAATGATCTTGCTTGAACTGCTGTCCCGTTTCAATAATATTTTCGATTTGCTCGTTACGCTCTTCAATTTATCAGCGTTATCATCATTAGCGCTAGCCACTGTAGTAGCGGTAGCAGCAGCAGTAGCAGTAGCAGCAGTAGTAGCGGACACACTAGCAGCTCTATCAAACGATGCAGTCGGTGGGAGGACATCAGAGGAATCATTTAAAATTTCGTCATTACTTTGAATGGATTCTGACTGAGCCTGAGAAGACCTGTTTGGTGGGTGCAATAAAGACGAGCTAAGCGAACTTTCCAAGTTACTTCTGTCTTGCGGACTCATATTACGATTTGCGTTTAGGTCTCTTAATGGAATATTTTCAAATGGCTGTCCAATTGGCCTTCTTCCTTGTTGTCGTCTGAAGTTTTCGAAATCTGCTCCATCTTCAGGGATGTTACCTCCTAATTGTAGGAAAGCTTCTCGGTATTGATCGTGTTCGTCTCTTGAGACGGGTGCACCAGGTATGAAGGGGTTCAGATCTTGGTCTTCACTAGGCGGCCTAAAATTTTCACTATGTACTCTTCCCTTCTTATATTTACAGTATAAAACTAGCCTTGAAATGTAATCAGTTATTGAAATGTTAACAAATTTACTCATTTTACAAATTTTACTCCCTCAACAAAAGGAGTTACTACAAAATAAATCGTTTAACGCAACAAATCAATGAAAAAGCTAGAACAATCTGTTTTTTTAATATTTAACACAACCATAATTGAAAATATCCCACTTACAAGAATATTGAAATAAAGAATAAAGCTACGATGACCCCAAAAATTATTAATATAATCACTGTTTTATTTTTATCAGGAGTTGTGGTTCCATTTAAGGGAGGAGAGTATTGAAGCATTTCTTCACGATAAAACACTGGAACAGCTAAAATTTTTCCTTTACGATGTGTGAAAACTGTTTAAAATGCGTTCTAAATAATAAAAAATTAATTAAATTTTTTAAAAATATTTATTTATCAAAACAAATTCTATTATTCCAAATGTTATAGACTTCGGTTCAAAATATCTGAAAGAGTACAAATACCTTATACGTTTTAATTCAAAAGTCTCCAACACTCCCTTCGTATAAATTGCAAAGAGCTTCACAAAAACTTGTTTAAATTCGAATTTCATTAGATATCAAACTAAAACTTATTTGCAATAAAAATTTGTATACTGTTAACTGTTAAAAAAATTGTCACTTCTTTAAACAAACAAACAATATTGTCAATATAGTTTGTTTGTTTGTTTGTGACAATTTTTTTATTAATCAAATCGCTAAAGATTTGACCTGCATGTTTAAAACATTAGGTTTACCAAATCTCGTATTGGACATCAGTTCAAAATGTAACATGAATCAAAAGTGAGCATATAAAATGAAGGAAAATTCTTGAAAACTAAATAAATTAAAACAAAGTGTCAGATGTTTACAAAGGTAATAAAGTATGGGAACATGAACAAAGATTAGTTTGCTTATTCATCTTATGAAAAAAGTTTTTAACCGTTTTTTTTTAAATATTTTTAATTTATCTTGCTAGTAAATTTTTATCAAATATTTATATAAATCAGCGTCAGATATTTGGCGGATATCTCACATAAAAAAAGTAATGTCTGCCTTGAATTTATTTTTTTTTCATTTAAAAATTTTAATTGTTTCTAAAACCTACATAGAACAAAATATAACTACATATCATATTATAAAGTTCTTTCTATGCAATCATTTCAACGTTAAACATTTTTCTGCCCATACGAATGTCTTAATGCAATGAATTGCTACTGGCCACATATTTGTTCTACAAAATCATCACAATTGAGTCATTTAAGACATTTAATAATCTTATATTAATGGAATGTGCCACAACATCAAATCAAAAACAACATTCTTAGATCAATTGATGTCGATGCACGCGAATAAATTTTAGTTATAAGCTTGTTTATGACTTAATCCCCTGAGTTAAAAATTAACAACTATTTTCATTTCAACCTTTTATTAATTTCTATTTTTTGACTTGTAATTTGTTTTTATTTTTAAAACTGTAAAAAATTGTATTTAAAAAGAGTTATAATTTTTAATGCGCCACCACAAATAGCTACCACGTCTACAAACGATAAGAATCTTTCATGGATATAAATATGGATATAGATGGATGGATATATATATCCATGGATAAACATGGATATATGAATCCATGGAATCTTTCTTTCCAGATAGTTGTTAATAGATTGTCGATATGTCTTTTAGAGCGTACATTTTTTATCCAGCCTGGCAAGTTTATTTGGAATATCACGTCACTGTTGACTTTAAAAATATTACAGCCGGTCTGAAGACAAATCTTCTGAGTATGGCATCTCAACATGCCTCCAATTCAATGGGTCAGTCGCCTTTTTCAAATTTTATCAAAAAACTGTATTGGCCCTCAAACTCAATTGTGTACTATTTGCTAAATTGCCGTTTTCACGTTAAAAAATCAAAATCCCAATTTATCAGTACATCTATTCAATCCTAACTATTACAAAAATGCATCACTCCATTTTCTCAACATTCCCAACGCAAAATAGAAATTTTCAGGAGGCGGTTCTTGAAATGCAACTCCCTTACAAATCTAGAGGGCGAGCCGCCGATAAAACTACAAAATGTTAAATCTTTATCGGGGTTTAATAAACAATGGCAAACATTTTTGGTCGCAAACACTGACTTTTGACGTCTTGTGCGACTGAATGGCAATTAAAAAATTGTTTTATTATAATTGTTAGATAGTGTTGAGCTTGTTTCAAACATGTTTTTCGAGAAGAATCATTCAAAAAAGGTTTCTGAACATCTTATCATTGATTCTACAAAAAAAAACAATTTGGAAACGTCAAAGTTTTGTGGGGAAAAATTCTAAACGAAATATTTAAATTTAATCGATGAGATCAAACTTTTATTTAATACTGCTAATCACTATATTTTGCATTCGTTTTAATTTCATTTTTTTATAACGTGTGGATGAAACATTACAATATTTATTCTGAATTAATAATCAACAATTTTTAAAAATTTTATAATAATAATTATTTTATAACTCCAAAAATGTTCAAAATTTTGTTCATATGGCACGTTAGTACTTAAAATCACGTCACAAAGCTTTCAGTAAATCGTTTTTATGAGCACTGTTAAAAATAATGTCTGCCCAGATTTTTAAATCGTTCTGTTTTAACCTCTCAGTGAGGCTTATTGTGATATTTTTCAATAATTTTAATATTTAACTAAAACAAACGAAAGATTTTAATCAGGGCGGTCTAAAGAAGTTGGAGGGAAAGTTGTCTTCACTTCAAATTATAGGAAAAATTTTATTAAAAAAAAAATGTTTGAAAATATTTAAACTCTTGTGGCTAGCAATAAAAAAGGCCATTTGTTACAAATATGTTAAAGATTTCATAATTTTTTACTATATTTAAAAAATTCTATATCAAGTGGAAAATTGACCCAAAGAAGAATCTTTTGCCTCCAACATTCAAGGGAGATGGTTTTTAATAGGAATTGTTTATTTTTCAGTCAGCAATGAATTTTCTGAAAGATTCAGCGACTGAGGGGCTGGATAACTTGTTGGCATCCATGTGGAACTGAGGATCGCTGAGGTACATAATGCGGCTCCGTACTTCTGGCTTCATCATTTCTTCAAGCATACTCTCTGCATCATTCATCATAAAAATCTTCTTTATACCATAAATATAATTAATTTTTATCATAATTAGCAAATTGGTTTTATTCATTTTTAAAAGCTTCAATTTCGCTTACACAAATTGCTTATAAAATAGCCTAATAAACTTGAAAAATTTAAATGTCATCTTAGAATCTTTGTGACTATAAGTCTTAACTGCGGCGAATTTTATTGAAACATTGATAAGCAGTTTTAAAAAATTCAAATTTTCTTTGAAATTTTAATATGAAAAAATGAATGGACGAACGAACGAACGAACGAATGAATGAACGAATGAATGAATGGAATAATAAATAATTAAATAATTAATTATTAACTAATCAAAGAATGAATTAACGAATGAATTGTATTGAACTTATAAATATGTACAGCCTTTCTAATTCATCTCTTTCAATACAATGACTAACATACGAATAATATTACAGTATAAAGTACAAAAGATATTAATCATGAAAGTAGAACTGACGTAACCAATATTATCGCTGGTGGTGGAGTCATTTTTCTCAGCATTCCCGACGGTTTTGTATTCAACTGGTAAGCATTCCTCTGGGATTTCTTTGCTTAAATCCTCCAGTGAACTGCCGCAGTTGATAATCTAATTTGAATTTAATATTGTCACTATTCACTTTTTTAATTGCTTAATTGTTTAATTAATTAATTAATTAATCTACATCATTCTGACCAATTCTACATTATTTTGTAATTCTATTATTCCTGGTTTTTATATATGGTTACGTGGATCCCCTTAAATAAAACGTAAGTCGGGCAAATGTTTGGTAATGGGGTTGACACAACCTTTTTTTCTGCCAATCACTTTCAATTTTTGGTCGATTTTTACACGTAAAACGGTTATTTTTTTGACTTTTATTAAACTGGATTCGCCACAGTGTGTGTGCGTGTGTGTGTCTGTGTGTGTGTCTGTTTATAATTAACAGTTTATATAATTATTATTAATATTCTTTAAATTATCTGAATCTGACAGTCGTAGAAACTGTTACGACATGCAAGGCAATGATATTGTAAACTGAAAGCTAACCCTGTGCATGAGCTTATCAGGTGTCACCATCTTTAGGATCATGAAGAAGAAGTCACCGAACGATCCAACGTTGTATAGGCAGATCTTTTTGATACGAGCTGGAATGCTTTTCTGTTTTGTTTAAATATTATTGAAAAATTCCAATAACAATTTTATTATGACAATTTTTTAATAATTAATTTGTGATAATTTTCTGATTAAATTGGTTTTATTGTTGATGTTAAATCTTCATATTATTGGTTTAATTTCACTACAACAAAACTTGGATAACAAAATAGCGGAATGTGAGCAAGGTTGTTCGTAGCCTACTGTTGAACGTGACTTTGTTTTCAATAAAATTCATACTAGGAAAAATTATCGCCACGGGTTCAACCGAAGATGAAAATTCAAAATAATCATATAATATGACTATCAAAATACGATATTATTCAATGGTTCAAAACTTGAAATGTTTCAATTTAGCTAGGACTACGAGTTACTAAGAGCAAGGCAGCTGAATATCGACTACAACGAAATCTAAAAGTATAATCTTGAAAATACGCGTTGTTGTTTGTTGAAATGACATTTCTTAGATTTAAAATTTTTGATAAACTAAAAACTTCATCCAAATCCTATTATTGCTATGGATTCGAATTACAATGAGGGCCCTCTTAGGCTTTTATTGTAGTTCTAAACATAACCTAAAACATAAACATAAAAGTATGAAAACAGTTTTTGGTAAAAAGACAAGAAAAGCGCGAATTTTCTAAAATTTAACAAATTAGATAGATGCGACCAACATGCCAGCCACCGTAGAACAATCGCTGCTCCTCCAGTGAGAACAACGTCTGATGTTTGAAGGTCATGTTGGAAAGGTCGTTGACGATGTAGACGCCGTTAATTTGGGTCAGTTCATTTAGGAAAAAAATAAAATAGGTCACACAGACGATCGCCCTCAAAATGTCTTGCTTGGTGTATCGGCCGCACCAGGGTCGGAGTTTGCCTGGTAGGTTTGGTGTTGACGGTGATGGTCTAATCAATTTTCAAGTAATAGTAAACAAGCGAAAAAAATTTAAAAATTTTTTTATTAGATTTTGTATTTTATTATTCACAAAGATATTGGTGATGTTGTATAATGAGAAAGATGTTGATGACTTTTTATAGTAAAAATGATGTTGTACGTGATGTAGTAGTGATTAAGATTGTTAATACTGTTGGTTATCGTGTTAATGGATTGAGGTTATAGAAGCTATGAACTATTCAAAGTACATGTTGTAATGACAGCTATAATGGTGGGGATCGTTTGTTTCTGATGTTGGTTCTGGTCGGATAGCACTAAGCTGTTGATTTTGTTTGAACGGTTGTCAGTTTCTACATTGTAACAACATTTTTAAATACAATTTTTTGAAATATTACAGCTTTTTTCATAGTAAAAATTTAATTTTTGATAAAATACATCAAGTTAAGTATGAGTTTAACCAACTCAAATTAATAGATAAGTGTCGAATTCCATAAAGTCAAACTAATTTGTTGTGTAATACGTATGATTCTCATAAAATAAATTAAAAAAAATGACTACATTACCATAGTTGAACATGACGATGAGGCATCCATCAGGGCTTCTTTTCGAAAGTGGGTGCGCAAATCTGAATAATGGGAGGTGATTTCATGAAGGCATAAATGGTGCATGTTGAAATGTGTGTATGTGTGTGTGTGTGTGTGTCTGTGTGTGTGTGTGTGTGTGTGTGTAATTCTGCTTTCATTCGTATGATTTTTTTGTTACTCAGAAAAAAATTTTATAATAAAAATTTCTATTTGATTCGAAGTGCAGAGCTTTCGACTGTGCTGAACATTGTTTAATATATCTCTTATTACATATATAAGACAGTTACATTTTATAACCTTGTAGTTTATATACGTATATGTATTCATTCATTCAATCGTTCATTCCTTCGTTCTTCGTTCGTTCATTCATTCATTCGTACATTCATTCATTCATTCATTCATCCATGGACGAACGAACTGAAGAACCTTAATGCAAAGTAGAAAGCAGTGAGAGAAATGTTTGAATGAATGAATGATGTGATTGACATATTGATCGTGTCAGTGAACTTTAGTTTCTTAGAAATCGAGTTCGCAGGTACAACCCAGCTATCTATCTATCTACTCATTGAATACAAAAAGTTAAATTTAACAATAATTAAAACTTAATATAAAATTTTTATTTCTTATGTAAACATACATATATTCGTTTATTTGATAAAGTTACCGTAAAATTCTGTCATGGTTTAATATTGGTTAACAGAATTATCATCAACGGGATTAAATCTAATCCTTCTAAAAATTTCTTAAAATTTTTCAAAAATTATAGCACAACTTTTGCTACAAAACTAATTAGTTAATTATTATTAAACCGTTATCAGCCAAAATTTTCAATCAAGTTTAATAAACCATCTGTCTATTCGTTTATCAATTTATCTATTCATTGATTCAAATACTCATTCTCAAATAAACTGTCATTTCATCTGTCAAGTTGTTGGGTAATTTTGTATTGTTAAATTTGTAGTTGAATTTTAATTTATTTGTTTATCTATTTATTAAAAAATGTGTCTACATAATAATCAATCCATTTATTCTTTCATTCATTCGTTCGTTCTTTAATTCTTTAGTTCGTTCGTTCGTTCGTTCATTCATTCATTCATTCATCCATCCATCCATCCACGGACAAACGACTGACCCATCTTTGAGGACGGCCAGCAGGCCAGCTTCGCAGGGGTCCACATTTTCGAACCACCCTCTCATCTTCGTCTTCATCATCAAATGCCTCTTCAACAAATCCCTCGATCCTGATTGGCTGAACTTGCGTGCCCTCAAAAATGAAATTAGGAACTTTGTATCTGTGTGTTGTTTTATGTCTTGCTGTTTAGTTTTGAAGGGTATTTGTCGTGTATTATTGTTTGTGTTGTCAATGTTTGCCAAAATATTTCAATTAACCATTCAAATTATTTATTTGATATCTAACTAAAACAATTCAACCAAATAAATTTGTTTAACTATCATCAATTTAACCAACTTACAAAGAATTGATCAATCAACCAACTGAACTGATCAACCAATCAGTCTAACAACTAACTATCCAATCAAACATTCAACCTATTAAACCAACCGACAAAACAGTCAGCCAACCAACCAACTGATCGATCATTCAACCGACTAACCAACCAAACTGCCAATCAACCAGCCAACCAACCAGTAGGACATTTATAAGCTGGTTGCGTGTTGATCCAGGACCTCAAACACTCAACAGCCTCCAATCGATCCTTGGTATCTTCGTTAAGTTCTTTGAAGGCTTTTGACCTTGTGACCTCATCGAGCGGGGTTAAGGTTGTCTCTGTTGTTGCTCCTCTTTCACCTTCACCATTGTTATTCTCGTTAAAATTTAGATATAGGTTGTGTGCCATCTGGTAGGATTTTATTTTGTTTTTATTTTATTTGATTAGGTAGTTGTGGCCGTAAAAGCAGTGAAGCTGATGAAAATGTTGCAGGTGTTGTCGGTGGTTTTTGAATTTTATTAAAAAATTAAATAAAAATAATTAAAATACTCCATAATTTTTTTTCGCAGTTTCACGAGAAAAAAGTCCGCCATATGGTGTTTGTATATTTTTTTGCTTTGTGTTAGTATTGGCGAAAAAATTGTTTCAGCGAAGACGAGAACTTTAATGATGTTGCCGGAGCTATAGTACAGTGGATATGATCGTTTTGACTGTGGCAGAATTTGGCGGCGATGAAGATGATGAAGACGATGATATGAAAGATTAACAAGTGACACACAGCATACAAAACTCGTGGCACATTTTTTCGGTTGAAAAATAAAAATTTTGGTAAAAATGTTATTCCTCTAGCAACAAGATTACCACTATGTCGTACTCTAGTGAGTAATTATTGTTGCTTGAAATTATTAATATAATAATTATATACCAAATTTTATTATGAGTAAAATTATTAAAAATAATTATAATTCTAACATCATAGTTGCTTGTGAGGTATTGCGTGGGTACGTGTTTGCGTTAGTGGGAGGTCTGTATGTGTGTGCATTTGTTTAAATGCGTGTATGTATGTATGTATGTATGTGTGTGTGTATGTATGTATGTATGTATGTATGTATGTATGTATGTATGTATGTATGTATGTGTGTGTGTGTGTGTGTATGTATGTATGTATGTATGCATGTATGTATGTATGTACGTATGTACGTATGTACGTATGTATATATGTATGTATGTATGTGTGTGTGTGTACGTACGTATGTATGTATGTATGTGCGTGTGCATGTATGTGTCTTCGTGTGTATGTGCGTGCGTGTATGTGTATTTGTGTAAACGTGTGTGTGTGCATTCACATAGGCTAGCAGAAGAAATAATTAAAACATTGCAGAAAAAGGTTGATGTCATTGGTTCAAACGTCCAAAATTATGATTAAATTATATAGCGCATAATATTGTGTGTGGCCATGGTATAGTGTGATGTGTCTTGCTCGATCGTGTGTGATGCGTTGTTCCACAAGTATTTATTAACCTGCACTACGTGTTTGATCTTAGTGCCTCTGAAAATGCCAGAAAGATTTGTACCAAAGAAATTTGTTAAATATTGTCAGGCCTATCTTTGCATTCGCATTTGACCTTTAATCTTTAAACCATCTTGCGGCAAAAAATGCGTGCATGAAGTTGGAAAGATGATTACATTGCGATGAATAAAATAAATTTAAAAGAATAAATAAATTAATAGATAAAATAATAATAAAAATTTGATGTAACAGAAAGCGACACACTCACATTTTTTTGTTACGTTTCAGTGTTTTCCAAGTTTGTTCATGTGACAGGTTTTCGACGGAATGTTGAAGAATTGATCTTGTTGCCAGTGCAATTTTTGTTGAGAATTTTTATTGTTTTAAACTTCTAAGCTAAAGTTTCAAGTGATTTTTTGTGGGTTTCTAGTTCTTTTTGACGAAAAATACTAAAATTATTAATGATAAAAATACCAAAAGAATACTGGAACAAATCTGCAGGTTAAATTTATATAATAGAAAGAAATGTTAAATATTTTACAGGTGCATTATTATTTTTGTTGTATTTTTGTACTATACTTTAAACTTTACTGTACATCAGTTTTTGTGGTTACAAAAAATTTTCCAAAATTGGTTAACCGCTGCTCGATTTTATTCATCCATTCTGTTTTTATTTCTCTATAAGTTCATTTCTAGAAGTAAAAGGCAAGCCTATTTGTTGGCCAGTGATATTTCGTCATGAATAGTATATCAGAACTCACAAAATTAATTAACACTTTGTTATAAATAGTAAATCAGAATTTACTTAGTTAATTAACATTTCGTTATAAGTAGCCTACTTCAGAATTTCATTATAATTATGAATGATATATACTATCCAACATTTCACGGAAACTCAATTAAACAAAGTTTTAGTAATCAAAATTGAGTTTTTCCATTTGAGAATGTTGGATAAAAATCATTTTTCCATAATATTCCAACAGATTCTATAGCAACAATGATATAATTAACTGTAATTATAGTGATATAACATAGCAACAAATATAATATGACAATAATTAATTAATTAATTAATAAGTAGCAGTAATTACTCTGAGGTTGTACAGGTATACCCTGTGGTATTCAAATCAAATTCAAATTGTACAGTTGTACACACACACACGAACTCACCTAGAAATGATGATAATAAATCATGATGTATAGCTAGAGCTAGAGCTAACACAGTGTATATATCTACAGGGATGATGTATGTATCTACAGTGATGATGTATATACATATTTTTCATCATCATCTGCTTCGTCATCATCATCGTTCTAATCATCAATAATAACAACATCATCATCATTATACTTCAAAATTTCTTTATATTTGTGAATAATATACCCTATTCAACATTTCATATTTTTGTAGTTTTGTTAAGTTGCCATCAAGTTTTAGTAATCAAACTGAGTTTATTCATTTGAGAATGTTGAATAAAAACCATTTTTCCATAACATTCATCAAAGTATCATCTACATTTTTATCTATCTATCTATCATAGTCGTTAGTATCACCAGCATCTCTTTCATTATCATGGATACTATGATATCATTAGTCTTATCAACCATTAAATGATATTAAACATTCATTCGTTATTATCATAAATCAGTAGCATCGTCACTGTTATTATTATTAACGTCGCTTAAGTTACCATAATTAGTTAATTACTTTACATATTTTATTAATTTAATTATTAACTAATTTATAAATTTATTTATTAGTTTGTTATAAACTAGTTAATTAATTAATTAATTTTAAAGTTTTTTATTGACATAACATTGTTTCAACACATATTTGGTAACGAAATACGTTAATATTATTTTCTATACGTAATGTTCCTTCAGTACCCATACCCAACTAATTCATAATACGTAAATACACGTAAGCGTATTGCATCTGACAGAACATGTTGCTCTCTGTGCATTTGAATCCGGTTACTACATCGCAACTCGCAGGAACCGGTGCCTCTAACAACAACACTACCTCAGTTTACCAATAAACATTACCATCATACATACTAACCAATGAAATAGCCTTTGGGATAATATTCTACCATATGACACGAACCACACTCGCGATATTTTTATTGAGTTATGATATGCTAATTGTATAATTGTTTATGTGTGTGTGTGTATGTGTGTGTGGTGTGTATGGGTGTATATCATTTTATTAAATGTATGAAACATATAAAAAATACACACATATAGAAACATACATACAAAAACACACACATACACACATATATGTATATATAATATATGCATGTACAGTACATACACAGAGTACATACACAGAATGTATAAAAATACATACTATATAGCATACATGAATGTATCGGCGTATTCCTAACTGATCGCGAATTGTAGTTCAGTTATCATTGTATCACGGTTTTCATCATCATCGTCATCATCAGTACATCATCATCATCTCCACCATCATCATCTTCATCATCATCATCTGCATTGTCAGTTTTTGCATGTTCGTTTCATGTACAGGTGATTCATCGACATCATCATCATCATCATCTTCTTCATCATCATCATCTTTAATGTTTCCATTATCATCATCATCATTTTCATCATCATCATCTTCATTGTCATCATCATCATTGTCATTATCATCCTCATCATCATCCTCATCATCATCATCATCCTCATCATTGTCACCTTAATCATTACCGTTATAATTCTTATCATTTATCATTTTTGCAGCCACTGTTGTCATCATCTTTTTTATTTTCATTCGAATCATCATCATCATCGTCGTCGCTACCGTCAGCAACGTATTTAGAAACAGCACGTGATGGCACTAAACCAGCCGACATGTAACCCGAAAATGATTTGATGAATTCTACATTATCATCATCAACTTCGTCCAACTTCGTCACACACACACACGCACACACACACACACACAAACAAACACACACAAACACACAAACAATTGCAAACGCGCTAATGACGATGAGATCAATCAATAATATTCAGGTACTTACATAGGCCGCACCGTAGTTCACTGAATTTGCTGGCAGATTATTATCACACTAACATTAAACACAAAGTGTAATTTATACAATACATTAATAAAGTTACTTTAATGTTACTTAATGTAACTGATACAACCCCCTACATACAATTGATAATAATTTTTATGTTCGTAATTCTTATTTTCAAGGAGTCTCGCCTTGCATCGGGCTTGTCGTTATAAACTCTGCGTTGGACAGAGTTTAATTTACAGAGTAAATACCTAGATGGTATGAACCGAACACACTAAACAAACACCGTTATAACGAACTGCTATTTTTTATGATTGATTATTATAGATAGAAAATTTTTCGGGGAAAGACGATTTAGAAATTGCGAGGTTAATGACCTATTTTTGGCCAGTTATCGAGCGCTATTTATTGCGATATATTAATTTAAAAACAGTTTTTACCCATTTAGAAATTCTTCTTGGCCGTTTCATGTGAAAAATCGATCGAAAATTGAACGTAATAAGCAAAAACTCCACTACCGTCAGGCCCACTGCCACAAATCTTGGCCCCACCGTGTAAATTTTGGCTCATCTTTGTAAAAATTTAAACATTTTCAAATTTTCGGCTTCTCTCCCCACGTCAAAGTTATCTAGATCCGCTACTGTATAGAAAGCAAACAAACAACTGCGATGTAATTATGTCCTTTAACGTACAATGCTAGGTCACGAGAGAGAATTCTCATGAGTTTGTAATAAATAATAATATTTTAAATTATAATATTATAATTTATTGGTGAGTGCAGCCATCGTCGTCAACATCTGCTTGAGACGTCTGGGTTTTTATTGTAAATAACTTCGGATTAAAAAAAAATCAATATTGATCTCAAAATTTCTCATTCTCACAAAATTTTCGAGTTTTTGAGTAGTTTGATAGTGAAACGGTTAGGATACGCGGTCTTGCTGATGCGGGAAACGCAATGAGATTCCAGCTATCAAGTGAAATGAGTGTGGTTTTACGCATATTCGCAGGTGTGTGTATGTGCGTGTGGTGTGTGTGTGTGTCAGTTAGTGTGTGTGTGCTTGTGTGTGGTGTGTTTGTGTGCTGTGTGTGTCTGAGTGATTGGTTGTCTTTAAGTATGAGCAAAAATATGCGTGGGCGTATGATGTATTTTTCTGTGTGCTTGTGCGTGCGTGTGTGCGTGAGGTGTGTGTGTGCGTGTCAGTTAGTGTATGTGTTTAATAAAAAAAATCATTAAATCATTTAATTTCTAAAACTTATTTCTGAGGTTAAATATAGAAAGCTAAATTTTCGACGTCTTATTTTGAAAATTCATAACGCAACACTATGTTGTTGTTGTTGTTGTTGCCCTTTCCGGTGGACCCTCAAGATTCCAATAGAGGTCGGAGTCAATCCGGCACTGCAACAGAGTTCCTCCAGAGGTCTATTGGTTGAAGATCCGTGGAGTTTTAGAGACAGCTAAACTTTTGTTGAACATCATCCGTATGATTGTTGCAGAAAGGACAGGTATTGATGGGCCCACTGTCGATTATGTTTTTGTAGCTGTTTAGAAGAATACCAGATCGGAGTTGGGCGAGGGTTCGTCTGATAGCCCTTGGAAGTAATTCTTCTGAAAGATCTATTTTTTGGTCTGGAAGAAGCTATCTGTCGAGCAATAATGGCGACTGGTACGACCTACACTATTTCAATCTATTCCTATCGATTGTTCGGCGATGAGGGTGTTTTGTTGAGTGTTCAACAAATTTATTCAAATAGTTAATTTTCGAGTTCTGAACTTCTACTTTCCTCGTTTACCGGTTTCCAGAAGAACTGGTAATACCACAAACCCTAGCATTAGAAGAATTTACTTGTGCAATCCACGCAGTCAACGAGCTTAAATATTACTTTTAAAATTATAAAGCCGCAATGGTGCAATTAGAAATTGAAAAATTAAGAAACCATTTGTTGGCGTCGACGAATATCGTTTAAATTTTTTTCTCAATGATTTAAAATTGTAATAGTTAAGTTAGTTAGGCAAGGTAGTAGATGAGTAATTTAATTGAAGTTGATAACCTTTATAATAATCACCTGAGTGTTTAGAAGCGCCAGGCCTGTTTCGTGATGCGTGCAGTGACTGACAATATAATATTAATAGAATGTCGCCTATCACATACGCTTTGTGTGAGATGCGTCGCTTTTTTAGCACGTATTCATATACCACGTTTGCGTGTTGATGATTCTTCTTTACTTTAAACGAGAGTAAATAGGTCCTTCTGATTTTGATATGCTTGCAAGATGCAAATCTGCCGCCTTTTTTATTTCAATTTAAAAGATAGATGGAGTATATACGAATATCAGCCTATTTGTATCGGTAGTATGTAGTAATTTTAAGTATGTGCAACGTATAACAAATAGAATTCTTTCTATTCATGTTAAATATAGATGAAAAATTTAGTATCAATTAAATGCACTACAACACAATTTTGTTACAGTTAATTTAAAGATTAATAGTACAAAAGCACCAAAAAAAAATGAACTTGAAACTTAAAATACGTTCAGTTGGCCCTTTGGTACTTCCTTTAATCGTTTGCTACGCAGTTATATTTTATTATTTCCTTGTATTGTGATGTGACTTGCAGCTAGATCTTTGTAAACTCTACCAACTTGAAAATGTTCATCAATTACTAAAACATTCTATACGCATAAAAATATGCAAATTTTTAGATTAAACTCGACAATTAACTCGACAATTAACTCGACAATTAACTCGACAATTAACTCGACTATTAAATTGACAAATACGATCTACGGTTTACCGAATAGCTACCTCCATTCTAATCGATTTAGTAAACACATTTGGAAAAAAGATAAACTAATTTGCCGATCCGCTCGCTACATAGTAATTTGTTGATGTCTCCGTTAAGTTTTACGTTTCCGGATTCAGAAAAGGCACATTAGCAATGAATACTGACGAGAAATGTGTTGTTGATGGTTTGTTTTTTTATGATGTCTTACTTCATATCTTCAAGTTTCTTGACTACAGAAGCCTGCTAAAGTAATTTTTTTCATTTTTGGGTGTTTCTGTTTAAATTAAAATTAAATTAATTAAATTTATAATTAAGGACTTGTTTTGTTATATTATTTATTTTCTGACCAAATTGTACCATTCCAGCTAAAATGAATTATTGATTATTTAATTAATTAAATTAAATTTTTGTTTTGTAGCTATGTTTTTGTTTCGACAATGTTTGTATGATGTGTTGTGTATACATACTAATTACTTTGTATGTAGTAGTCAGTAATGTATCTGAATGCAACTGCAACTTAGTAATTTTTTGCACATACTTACAAATATGATTAATAATTTATTTAAAAAAATAAAATGCCACTAACCTAACATATAAATTTTTTATAAATTATAAAATAAATGAATTTATTAATTATTTCTATTTTATTGACATTAATATTTATTCATTTAATTTAATAAAAAACAATGTTAATTATTATATTAATTAATAGATAATTAATGAGACTAATTTACTCTAAATTAAAATTGAAATGTTTAAATGAACAGTTGCTTAAAAGTTTGCAAGCAGTTTAACGAAGTAGCCAAATCAGAAGTTCTCTGGAAGAGGTTGTACAACAAGCATTGGGACACGATAAGAAGGTAGGTACATCTCAATTAAATTTTTTTTAACTAATTGTGTCTAACTTAGAAATCTCAGTTTTATTTATTTATGATATCCTATAAATAGGATTGTTAGTTATAAATCTTTATTGTTTTTGGTTAAAGTTTAAATTTTTGGCATAATTTTGTTGTTACAAGTATTGAAAACAATGAATGTAATAAAGATATATATGATATATATATATGATATATATATATGATATATATATATATATATATATATATATATATATATATATATATGGCAACAGTAACGACACAGAAGACAGAGGCAAAACGAGTTGGCACCAACAGTTCATATCAGAATACAAAGACAAATGGAGGTATGTAGACATGTATAAAGAAGTTTTACAAGCTTGGGTGGACATAAAAAGTTTCTACTTGCAACTATCACCTCCAGTTATTTTTAGCCTGCGTGGTTCGTTGGTTTGCTATTTGTTTGATTGCCATAATTTTTCTGATCGCTCTAGCCGAAACGTGGTGTCTTTGGCGATGTCTAATCTTATTTTGCATCTTACAGTCTGTTTAGAGATGGACTGATGTCAGGGTTGAAAAGATGAAAAATAAAATATAAATTGATTATTAAACTGATTTGATTTGATGGATCACACAGATCACACAGAGCTTCTCTACTTCTAACTGCTTCAAGTTTTTTTCTAGATTCAATCAAGTGCATTTATTTTAGCATCTTTGTAAAAATTATTAAAATATATTTTCATCTTTTTAATCATCAAACTCTACAAAATTGCTATTTTTTCTTTGTTTTTTTTTATAAAATAGCACAAATGAAATAATTTAAATCATTGCAGTAGTAAAATAATGCCAAAATATACATTTACAAGATTTTTCTTTCCTTTTCCCTCAAATGTTCTAAATCCCAAACAAGATAAATTCGCGTGAATTAATGTTACCAACCATTTTGGTGAAGCCATTTGTATTGCATTTTCCTAAAATTTAATCCAGAAGATAGTTTTAATTGATTCTAGAAAATGTTCAATGTCTGTTTATCATTGAAAATTGTTATTTGTGGTTTTTTGGTTATTTAATTTTCAGCTATTTTTATGGGAACCGGTCTTTGGATGCAAAACGAAGATTGATTTAATTTTCAGCTGTTTTATGTATTTTCTCTTGTCGATAATATAGATAAATTTATATTGGCTCTTTTTTTAGTATTTTTATTTCGCATTAGAATATTTTAAAATAATAATAATAACACCATATCAATAAGAACAAAAATAATAGAAAAAAATATTAATGATAATGACATCAATGATCATTTCTAGATGGGCTGACAGAAGAGGAGTTGGATGATTTTGAAAAGACTACTAACGTTAAGCTGCCAAATGAGCTGAGATGTGTGTACAGGTTTCATGATGGACAGGTATGGCAAGCTGCTGAAGCTGCTTCTAACAATCTTGGGTCAGTTAATTGGTTGGTTGGCTGGTTGGTTGGTTGGTTGTTTGGTTGATTGGTTGGTTGGTTGGCTGTCTGGCTGGCTGTCTGGCTGGTTGGTTGAATGTTTGAATGGTTGGGGTTATAGTTAGCTTGTTGACTTGTCGATTCATTAATTGATTGACCGACAAGCTGGTTGATTTTATTATTTATTGATTCAATTCCTTGATTATTTTTTGCAACTCAAAGTTTACGACCTGACTTCATTTCAGTTTGTTTGGCTATCTACACTGCTATGACCACGTAAGGAATGAAGTCTTTTTACCACTTAGGCGTAGGAACTTGAACAGATCAGTGAGTTGCTGACAAAATAATCTATTAATAATAATTAATTGATAGATTTATTAATAAAATCTTCTTTTCACCATCATCAACATCATCGTGATCATCATCATAATCGCCACAAGGGTGACTGTCGTCACTTGCTGGTCAGTGAGAGTGCACTGTTCAAGTTGTACGTTTGTTTGGAGGGTTTCAAGGACGTCAAGTTTGGGAATGTCGTGAACAAGTTGCACTTCCTCAACGCCGATAGCTACAGTGTTCCCCATCTTGTTGGTTGGTTTTCGCCTGTTTGTGTGCGTGTGCGCGCTGGCTGGCTGGCTGGTTGGCTGGTTGATTGGTTATTTAGCTGGCTTGTTGTCTGACCAGTTGGTTGGTTGGTGGTTGGCTGGTTGGCTGGCTGTCTAACTAGCTCGACGTTTCTCAGCCAGCGGGTCACCACCCTATCAGTGTCCGAATGATAGTTTGCCAGGGCGCCAGGGACAGCCTACGACCATCAGAAATATGATTTTTGTCTCTCTTATAACGTCTTATTGTACGGTTGATTGGAACATTTTAAAAGTAGATTGTCTGTGCTTAAAGTTTGTTTGATTGATTGATTGATTGATTTAGTGATTTAGTGATTAATTGAATGATTTATGATTTGATGGGTTATCAGTTGATTGTGCATTTTAAATAATATCACTACCAGGTTGAATGTATTTATTGGTCATCCGATTTTTAAAAGTTTCGTTATACTTCTGATGTCTGTGGATGAATTTAGGGTTAATCGAAAGTAGCGACGCATTTAAATTTTCTATTTATCTTCAAAAAACTCAATCTACATGATGACAATGACGAGATAAAACTTAACTTTACCAACTAAACGTCACCAAACAGCTCAAAACTTCAAGGAGTACTTTGTGGATTTTGCAAACAGAATCAAAACCGAATACTTTCCTGTTATCAACGGAATGGTCTACAAGTAAAAAGCTTTGCTGGTTTTCTCTGGTTTATACTTTGTAATGCCATCCAGCTTGCTGGAATAACATACGCTCCTCAACAATAATTTACTTATTTTTCATTTTTCGCTCGTTTTTTTTCTTACTAGAGAAACATTTTAAAATTGTTTCCATATTTCGCTAGTACGTTTTCCTACTCAAACGAAATTTTCACGTATTTTTTTTCAGTAAATTTGTTTTTTAGTTTATATAGGGCTATGTTTGATGAACACAACAAACGAATATACACCATACACTCTGGCTTGTGACCAATTTATATACGTTTCTGCTCGCACTGAAATTTATCTACCATCCCTTCATTTCTATATCTTTCTATTCATCTTTTTTCACATTCATTCCATTATTTATTCATTTTTTCATCCATCAATTCTTCTATTCATTCAATCATTCATCTACGCGACAGGTTCTACACAGAGCCGAGTCAGAAGTTAGAGACTCGTAATATAACCATTCAGGTACACACTGCCTTCTTACCTGAGAGATCCTATGTTGAGCATTACACACACGCCTACCTAGTTAGGTTTGTTGGTTGGTTGGTTGGCTGGTTGGTCTCGGATGATTGGTTGGTTGGTTGGTTTTGGATGATTAGTTGGATGGTTGGTTGGTTGGTCTTGGATGGTTGGTTGGTTGATCACGGATGATTGGTTGGTTGTTTTGATGGTTGGCTGGTTGGTATCGGATGATTGGTTGGATGGTTGGCTACTTGGTCTTGGATAATTAGTTGAATGGTTGGTTGGTTGATTGGTTGGTTGGTTGATTGGTTGCTTGGTTGCTTGGTTGGATGGATTATTGATTGGTTCGTTGGCTAATTGAATTCTCAGTTTAGTTGGTTAGTTGATTGGTTGGTCAATTTATCAGTTCACCATCATCACATTCAACATAATGACCTAACAGGTTTTCAGTGGGTCCCAGCCCACCCTTGAGTAGCGTCGATAGTGACGATGGCACTTGTCAGCTGGTCAGTCGCCACTGGGAGATCGCTGATGGAGAGAAGGTAGATGTTGTCGATGGAGCCGGAGTCATTGGTGAGTGAATAATTGAGAGAATAAGTGAGTGAATGAGTGAGTTAGTGGTTGGGTGAATGAGTAAATGTTTGACTTAGTAAGTTTTTAGTAAATGAATGAGTTAGTAATGTAGTAAGTAAAGTTTCATTCATCTATCCATCCATTCATTTAGCCGTCCATTCAATTTTCATCTATTTTACCATTTTTCAATTCATTCATCCATTCTTTTGTCTTTTGATTGACAACCAGGAGCCTATCCGATATTTAAACCGAACTCAAAGTTTTCATACGTCAGTTGTGTTGTACTGCACAATTTGGTGGGGTCAATGAAAGGTCACTTCACCGTGAAGAACCTCAGAACAAGTTCGTTTATCCATCCATCTGTTTCCTATCTTATTCACCTCATCAATATCATGTTTGATATTTTTCCATCTACATAATTATTGACGTTACTGTTATAAGCCTTTTTTCCCTTACCAGACGAAAAATATCAACTAATTGTGCCTGAATTCAAAATGTCCTGTGGCTTTATTGGGAAACAGGTGTTAAGTTGTTGATTGGTTTGTTGCTTGGTTGGCTGACTGGCTGGTTGGCTGACTGGCTGAATGGCTGATTAATTAATTGAATAATTAACTGACTGACTGACCGATGGTGATTGTTTGATTTGATTGAATTAGTTTATTTTTTTCTTACGGCTAACATAAATTTTCCGGTGATATTGTTGGCGATGGAGTGGTGGTAATGGTGGTTATGATAATGATGGTCTTGGTGGTAGTGATGAGGATCATTTCAGAGAAAATAATGATTTCGGCGAAGGTGTAAAATTTTGAATATTTACAAACTTTGGGCTACCGGATTGTTCTTATCCCAACAGTTACATTTTTATTTGTTACCATTTTTATCTCATTTCATTTTGTTAACTGTACGCTACTTCAAAGAATATTATTAATTTGTGTGTGTATATAAGTGTATATGTGTGTGTTTTGTTTATATGTTTATATTTCTACACACACATGCATAAATATATCATTAATTTATGAATAAATTAACGCAGGCATTAATGTATGAGTGTGATTAGTTTTGGATGAATGAATGAGTAAATAAACGAGTAAATGGATGAATATTTTTGTGATCCATAGAGCTACAACGGTAGAACTTTATAATGAGAAACAATTTCATCTGTTTAAATGAAATTCTTTCGGCAAACATTTTGATTGATGTATTTGGTAACTTTTTTCATCCATTTTTTATAACAAACTTAATGTGACTTTTAAAAATTGAGTTTTATTACACTCGGTGTTCTCAATAAGTTAACTGTCGATAAAAAAATTGAATGAATATGTTCTGCGCAATAATTTTAAATAATTTTATTATTTTTCCTGTTTATCGTCTCGACGTTTTTACAAACTTTTCTAAATTCATTCCTTCACCGAATCGGGAAATTAGCGTTAAAAATAGTCATCAACTCTATCGTCTGTTAAAACACTCCCTGATAATTGTCGAGAAAATCATTGAGAGAAGATTCGTGCATCACAATCGAAAATTATCAATTTGGTTTCCTAGCGGGGAAATCAACAATTGATGCAATTCACATCCTTCGGCAACTGCAAAAGATGTACCTCGCAAAGCATCAACAACTAAGCCATAGCAGGTCCAACTTCGATGTGAGAATCGCCAACTGAACTTTCAACAAGTTCATTCATGTAGTTCTCCAGATCAGTAAGCATTTCTTGTTTTTCTTCAATGTGAGTCAGTATTTTTTTATTGATCGCCATTCTCTCCTGAAGCAAGCCTTGAATTTCTTCAAAACTTTCGGTCATCGCTTTCATCAAGTCCTGCTTCTCCAGATAGTCAGTGGCGGATTAACCTTTTTGCCGCCTAGAGGCACTCGTGGTTTGCCGCCCCAATTTTAAATTTTATAATAAATTTAGAAATTAAATTCATATAAATGCAATATTTTTAAAACATTTTTATTAAGTACATTCTTTAATAATGTTCATGTAATGTAATATTATCAATCTTAAAAAATAAATTTTCTTTCATTGCAGTTTATAAAAGTTATTTCAAAACTTTACGACGTGCCTTCCTGCGCGTAAATTCATCAATAACGAAATTAATGTCTAAATCTTGCAAAATTGTTCTTTCGATGCATAGAATTGCATGGTAATTTAACCTTTCTTCGGACATTGTCGAACGCAAATAGTTTTTAACGCGCTTTAAACAAGAAAAAGATCGCTCCGCCGAACAGTTTGTAGCAGGAGTACAAGTGTACATCCGAAGTGCAATGTCTACATTTGGATATACACACTGCAAGTCATTCAGTCTTATCCATTTACTCAAATCAATTGGAGTGTGTGGAACTGCGTTTTGGTCTAAGGTAGCCAAATGACACTTTAAATGCAACAGTTCAGTATTTCAGGTGTCGTCAAGATCGTTTGGAAATAAAGAACTTAATCCATCCGCTGCAATCTCTAACTCACCCATTGACAATGTTTTGAACTGTACAATTGCTTTGAAATTTTCATTAATTTCTACATAAGCGTTTCGTTTCTTGTTCATTTCAGAATTTAAGTTATCCATAATTACCAAAAATATGTTTACACGAAAATTTTCTCGAGTGGTAAATTCTGTTTCATTGTCAACTAATTCGTCGTAATGCCGCTTCCGTTTTTTTAATGAAAAATAAATAGTGTATTTGATTTTAATCAAATGTTAAATACCATCTTAAAAGCACACAAACAAAAATTTGATAATTTTATCTGCATGGAATAAAAAATTAATATAGAAACCTTCCCCAGATAGGAGAAACAGAGAGCACACCAAGAAAACACATTTGCAGATCATCTTTTGAAATTTTGTGGAAATGTTCCGATAGTACTAGTTTGGAAGAATCCTCGCTTATAAAAACAATTTCAAGCGAACATTAAATCAATTTATGAATTTATGAGTATGTTTGTGATAGGCGCTTAAATCACAATTTTCCTTATCATATATTTAATTTTTTCGAATAAACAACTCAAATTTTATACATTACGACTGGCACTTATTGCCTATAAATAACGGATAAACATGTTTTATTACCTCGTATGGACTGAATTAAAAAATTCAAATTTCATCGTTCTCATAAATCCTTCGATCTAGATTTAGAAATTTGAAATGAAATATTTTTAAATGATTTGTGTTGAAAAAATAAAATTTTAATTAAAGTACGTTTATCTAGATAATTATATAGATAACAAATGGCATAATGTTAAAATATGAAAAAATAATAAATAATTAAAAAAAATTGAAGATGAAAAATAATAAACAAATGATTGATGCAGCTTGCACGTCATGTGGTCAGGTACGAGTCCCATTAAGACGTCAGTAGGATCATTGATTTAATGAAAATTGTTTTAAAAATTTGGGAATAAATTTTGAAAAAAGTTTTACCTGCATCTGACAAACTGAGATAAAGTTGTATAAATAAGGATAGTATGTGAGAGTAAGGTGTATATTTGAAACGACTATAGCCGAGCAGTTCGCTATGAGATTTTCCATCCTTTGTCTATCTGTGGTGTTTGTGTCGCTTACGCTCGTCTATTTAGGTTTGAATTTTGTATTTGTAGAGTAACTGAAAAATTTAATTGTTGTTAATTTTAATACTCATTTACAAACGTTTTCAGCATAGAAGTTTTGTTATTAATTTACAACTTGAATTTTACGATGGAGGATGATTTCTTAAAGTTTACAACAAATTTATTTTGTTCATTGTTTTATCGTCTTAATAGAAACAAAAAGTATATCGAAGTTAACTCTTTTTTACATCAGTCACTGTTTAATGAGGAATATACACTACTGTGAGGTAAAATTTTATTAAAACATATCTCTGTTTCTTGAATATTTTTTCTACCATAGACTGGAGGAGAGAGGTGCAACCCCGATCCCATTCTTCCTTACATCCGTCACTCAGTCTTTTTTTCAAAATCGTGTGTCAAAAACCATTAAATACAAATAACAGCAGAAAAAAACATCAAATAACATTTAACATGTGTATTAACTTTTATTTTTCAAAAAAAATGTTTCAAATTTCTTCAGTTATATTTCAATTGCAAATTTAAAATTTGGTTTTAGTATCAATTCAATCGCTCATATTACTAAACTCATTTAGCTGATTTGATAACGGGAACTTCTTTTGAAATCATGTTAATGTCATCCTTTCCAAAGTCGAAACCTTTTAAAATTCCTATATATCAAACGTTAGATATTATTTTAAATGTATACACAAATAAAATTTGATATTGCTATCTTTATGAATTGAAAAATTTAAAAATTAAAACCTCCTCCGTTAAATGAAAACAGCTGGCACACAAGGAAAACACATTTGCAGATCACCGTTTGAAGTTTCGGGAAAATGTTCCGTTAAACTTGGAGGAATTCTCGTTTAAAAAGACATTTTCAAACGAACATTCATTTAAATGACATATGTTTAATACATAATTAAATCATTAAATTTTTTTTCATCATTTATTTAAATATCTTTTTTAATAAACCATTTTTATTTTGTGTACAGTAAGACTGACATTTATTGCCTATAAAAAAAAAACGACGAACATGTTTTATTATCTTGTACGGAACTGATTTAATTATTCAAATGTCATCTTTATCTATAGATATTTTGACACAGTTTTATAAATTGAAAAAAATTCAAATGATTTGCGATAAAAAATTATTGAAATTAACTTTGCCTATAAAGACTAAGAAATATGAAGATAGGAAATAGGATAGTCAATTAAAAATTTAAAATGTGCGCTAGTTCGTCTGCACGGTGTACAATTCATAACAAGTATTTTATGAAAACATTAAGATGAAACTGAAATTAAAAATTTAAAAAATCTCCAAACTATAAACCAAAAAATATTTCTTTTAAAACAAATTGAAGATGAAAAAACATAAAATGTTAAACAATTGATTAATGCAGTCTGTACGTCGTGCGTTCAGGTACGCATCCCATTAAAACGTCAGTCCGATCAATGATTTATTGAAAATGATTAATTATATCAAAAATTTTACTCGTATTTTACAAACTCATAAAAGTGTTTTATATATTGAGACAGTATGTGAGAACATGGTGTTATCTGTGATAGTCACAACCGAGCAGTTTACCTAGAGATTTCTTAATATTTGTCTTTTTGTGGTTTTGGCATCGTTTGCAGTCGTCCATTCAGGTTTGAATTTTATATAGCACCTGAAAAATTTAATTTTTTATAATAATAGTACCCATGTTCTTTTGTTACGGACAAATAATTTTTTATTATCGTTTTATCACTTGTCCTCCGCCAGAGGCAGATAAATATACTTATAAATATACAAATCACTTGTCCTAAGGCAGGGGTGGGCAAACTACGGCCCGCGGGCCACATGCGGCCCGCAAAGCTATTTTATGTGGCCCGCCCGCGTGACCTTGCTCGCTTAATAAAAGGTCGTCAACCAGACATTATGACCAAAAAAAGGAGCCACAAATCCTAAAAAATTCTCCCCGGGTCGAAAAAATTTGCTATTTAAGTACATATGCGGCCCTTCAAAAATAAAATTGTTCTCAATGCGGCCCTCACAGCAAAAAGTTTGCCCACTCCTGTCCTAAGGCATCAGAGGCGATGGTGGAGGGTGCGCAAACATTCGTCGAGGAAGTCACTGATAAGCCCAAACAGATGGAAGGCCTCGTCAGTGAAAGTAAGAGTTTTGGAAATTAAACTTCAAATATCGCCGCGATATTTAATACATTATTTTCATGAAGGTAACTAAATATTGTTGGTTACACTATATTTAATTTTTTATAATTAAAAAATCCCATATACCAAAAAAAGTCAGACAAGGCAGGAAAATTTAATGATGCTTACGACAAACTCTTTTATCAGCAACAAATAGTAGTCAAATGATGATAATTAATTTTGACATGTAATTGCCTAACCTAATTTGTTTTTAATTTTAGAAAATGAAACAAATTTCTAATTGATATCACATTTTTTTATCTGAATAAATTTTGAAATTGTTTGGTTTACTGTCATTGTTTTCTCTTCTTATAACAACATTCAAAGAATTTTCAATCATCTGACCAAAGTTGTTAATGTTAAAATCTTTTATAAACCCATTAATGTTTCGCTTGCAAACGATCTAATGATTGTGTTACATCCTTTTTTTTCATTAATTATCGACTACTCATCAGCCTAAGTGGTTTACTAAAAATGTAATATCCCATTTAAAAAATCTTAAAACCACCAAGACAAATTATTCTCTTTGTTCAATTATAAGTCAAATCCCGATAGCCCTTCTATCTTATAGCTAAGATTCTTAATAAAATCCTAACTTCCTACACCCCAAATGACTACAACTTACAATCCTGCCAAGAATTCTTAAGTTTGTTGCCGATGAATTTTAGCATTTTATAGAATAGTTTTTTAACTTTGAAGAAAACTTTTATTTAATAATTCCAAATTATTTTATTCACAAGAAACATTGTTCCAAAGTTTTTTAGTTAAATTTTTATCTCAAATTTGAAATATTTTTTTCTGCATCAATTCAATTGTTCATATTATAAAACTCGTTTCAGCTGATTGGATAACAGGAATTTCTTTTGAAACCATTCTAATGGCGTCCTTAGCGAAGGCGAAAGATTTTTTATTTCCTGCATACCATGCTTTATCAAACACCTGATCACCAGACACTTTTGCTTTTTCTTTATTCAAAATTGCAACATATTTTTTAATAAAAGCCATAGCAGGTCCAACTTCGATGTGAGAATCGCCAACTGAACTTTCAACAAGTTCATTCATGTAGTTCTCCAGATCATTAAGCATTTCTTGTTTTATTTCAGTGTGAGCCAGTATTTTTTCATTGATCGCCATTCTCTCCTGAAGCAAGTCTTGAATTTCTTTGAAACTATCGGTCAACGCTTTCATCAAGTCCTGCTTCTCCAGATTGTTCAACAGCTCCAAACTAGGACCTTTATTCTCAGCTGCGAAATAATATAAATTCCATTTGAGTTAAACTTTATGGCGAAAAGTTTATAAATTAAAAAAATCTATTTTAAATAAAAAATGATAATTAAAGTACAAAAAAGTTTTGGTATATAAATTGCAAACAAGAATGTTCAATAAAATGTAGTTTAGTACCATTGACCGGGCCAGAATTTTTTAAGAAAAATAAATAGTGTGTTTGAGTTTAATCAAATGTTAAATACCATCTTAAAAGCATACACACAAAAATTTGATAATTTTATCTGCATGGAATAAAAAATTAATATAGAAACCTTCCCCAGATAGGAGAAACAGAGAGCACACCAAGAAAACACATTTGCAGATCATCTTTTGAAATTTTGTGGAAATGTTCCGATAGTACTAGTTTGGAAGAATCCTCGCTTATAAAAACAATTTCAAGCGAACATTAAATCAATTTATGAATTTATGAGTATGTTTGTGATAGGCGCTTAAATCACAATTTTCCTTATCATATATTTAATTTTTTCGAATAAACAACTCAAATTTTATACATTACGACTGGCACTTATTGCCTATAAATAACGGATAAACATGTTTTATTACCTCGTATGGACTGAATTAAAAAATTCAAATTTCATCGTTCTCATAAATCCTTCGATCTAGATTTAGAAATTTGAAATGAAATATTTATAAATGATTTGTGTAGAAAAAATAAAATTTTAATTAAAGTACGTTTATCTAGATAATTATATAGATAACAAATGGCATAATGTTAAATTATGAAAAAATAATAAATAATTAAAAAAAATTGAAGATGAAAAATAATAAACAAATGATTGATGCAGCTTGCACGTCATGTGGTCAGGTACGAGTCCCATTAAGACGTCAGTAGGATCGTTGATTTAATGAAAATTGTTTTAAAAATTTGGGAATAAATTTTGAAAAAAGTTTTACCTGCATCTGACAAACTGAGATAAAGTTGTATAAATAAGGATAGTATGTGAGAGCAAGAAGTATACTTGAAACAACTATAGCTGAGCAGCTCGCTATGAGATTTCTCATCATTTGTCTTTCCGTGGTGTTTGTGTCGCTTGCGGTCGTCCATTCAGGTTTGAATTTGTAGAGAAACTGAAAAATTTAATTTAATCATTCATAATTTTAATAGCGATGTACAATCGTTTTTAGCATAAAAGTTTTTTTATTAATTAACTTTTTAAAAATCACTTGTCCTCCGGCAGATGACGACGTGCAGGTGTCAGAGGAACTGGTGGAGAGTGCGCAAACATTCGTCGAGGAAGCCGCTGATAAGCATGAACAGATGGAAGACCTCGTCAATGAAAGTATGAGTTTATAAAATAAAACTTTAAATACTGCTTTAATAATGCTTTGATTCATTATTTTATTTTGACAATATTTTCTTTATTTATTCAGAATATTTTTGGTTTTCTTATTTAAATTTTTTAATTAACAGATAAGCCCATATACGAAAAAGAAGCCGATATGTTTGGGATGGCTGAAGAATTCGTTGATGCTTACGACAAACTCTTTGATAAGCAATAAATAATAATTAAATGTTCTGATTTATTTAATTAACTAATTTAAAAAATAAAACAAAATTTTAATTGATACCACATTTTATTAACTAAAAATATTTTAAAATTATTTGGGTCAGCCATCTTTTCTTTTTCAAAAAATAACTTTGAAAAAATTTTCAAAAACATCTGAATATGGTTGCTGATGTTGAAATCATTAATAAACCCATTAACGCTTTTGAAGGTTATATTCAATTCCTATCAAATAAATTTGACAAAATATCATACACAGGCAGAACTAAATAAAGAAATAGATATATACACGTAGTTATAATACATTTATAATGTTGTATTTACACATTCAAATTGTACAATTGTGTTATGGTGTAGTCTCAAATTATTTTAAATTCTCTCAGAAAATTTTAAACGTTTTACTACACTATATATACTAGTTATTTTTATCAACAATTTAAAAATTTTATCAATAATTAAAAAAAAATTTCAAATTGATTTCATTGCGATATCGATAATGATTTTTGTGACCTGACTGATTAAAAAGCATCAAAGAAAGTTAAAATAGGATGGAGAATTTGTTTTATTGGGATATTCGTTTAAAAAGCGAGCAAAATTTTAATATAAAAGCGCTTATAAATCTATGCATATTGGCTCAGCTTGGCTTGGAATCGGATGTTAAGCAAGGTGTGGTCTTAAACTATTTTGAATTCTCCCCGAAAAATTTGAACTGCGTGCGTACATATATAGCAATGATTACTGTTGTTTTTATAATGAATTTATAAAATATATAAATATAGCGAGCAAAATTTTAACATAAAAGCGCTTATAAAACTATGCATATTGGCTCAGCTTGGCTTGGCTCGGCTTGGAATCGGATGTTAAGCAAGGTGTGGTCTCAAACAATTTTGAATTCTCCCCGAAAAATTTGAACTGCGTGCGTACATATATAGTAATGGCTACTGTTGTTTTTTATAATGAATTTATAAAATATATAAATATAGCGAGCAAAATATTAACATAAAAGCGCTTTTAAATCTATGCATATTGGCTCAGCTTGGCTTGGCTCGGTTTGGAATTGGATGTTAAGCGAGGTGTAGTCTCAAACAATTTTGTATTCTCCCTGGAAAATTTGAACTGCGTGCTTACATATATAGCACTGATTACTGTTGCTTTTATAATGAATTTTTATTATATATATATAAAGTGACTGGAATCCATGTATACAAATAATTAAATTATATTATATTAGATTATATGTTCATATGAAAAGCAATATAGCAGATTCAACCAAAGGAATTCATCGTGGAAGATGTCAGGCTACGTTCGTTCAAAGAAGATACGCCTGGCTGGGATACGTTTTATTCTTTTTTCTCTGTTTTTCTCTGTAATTTAACATTAAGTAAGAATGCTAACACGCACATACACATAATTACATTAAGTAGCTATATAGGTAGGTTAGATAGGCATAATTTTAATTGTAGGTAGGATAGATAGGAAGCATCCAACACTAATGTAGTTGAATAGGTAGGCAGCGTAAGTTTATCTCTTCTATTTTTTCTCGCACCCACATTACACGCATCAGCGTATTATACACACACACAGATACATACATAAACACATATTAGTATTTGAGCGTTATTTTATTTTCATTACACATTCTAATTTATTATTACTAAGGTTGAGAGTAATTTAATTTCATAGGTAGTTAAAAGCAATAATTTAATTCTAGGAACAACCTTGTAATTTAAATTAAATAAATGCTGTAAGTGTATCGAGAGGTAGGTTAGTTATTAAGTTTTACATTATTGTTATTAGGTTGGAGCCCAAGGCATTACGTAGGTGGTGGGGTGGGTGTCGAAAGGCCAATGAATTGGGCTCTTGAGTTTTGTTATTTCAGGTAAGCTAGGGCCATAATGTAATGAATAGGTAAGTTAAGGCTACGTTGTAACACACACTCATTAATAGATTTAGGGTTTAAATTTTATATTATTACTAAGTTGGAGCCCAAGGCATTACGTAGGTGGCGGGGTGGGTGCCGATTGGCAAATGAATTGAGCTCTTGAGTTTTTTTGTAATTTTAGGTAAGCTAGGGCTTAATTGTAATGAATAGGTAAGTTGAGGGCACGATAGCCGATAGACTCTGAATTTCGAAGTCTGTTGTCAGGGGTAAGCCTTGGTGGCCAGTGGTGTACCGGCAATGGTTTACTATCCGGACGGCAATGGTTTACTATCTGCACGGTAATGATTTACCATGCGGCACGGCCATAGTCTACTACCCGCACGGCTTCCGGACGGCAAATGGTTTACTATCCGCACGGTAATAGTCTACTATCCGCACGGCAATGGTTTTCTATCCGGTGCCCTGGCTGTCGGTGAACCTCTGTGCAAGGAGGGAGAATGAAGGGGGACTTTCGACTATCGTACCATTAACAATTTAATATAGATTAGTTAAGGTAATTGAATAGGTAGATAGGATTATTTTTATTAAGCAATTTGAGATGCAGGCACCGCTAAGCTTTCTGATGAGAATCTACTCTTTCTCTATCTTTCTCCATCAACACGGGCTGTGTTTCAACAACAACCTCGAGGAGGACTGGCACCAGTTTTGGAGGACAACGTAGGAACCGGACCGCATTCAACATTCTGCCTTTGTCGAATGGACGACGGTAAGTTTTATTTACATTTTACTTACTTTATTATTTTAAAATTTTATTTATTTGACATTATTTTCATTTTATAATTTAATTTTTTTTGCTTCTAAGATTCTAACATTCATTTACTACTACGCAAATAAAAAAATTTTGTTTACAGAATGATGAGAGGTGGGCAGGGGTGGGAGTCAGCACGTTTTAGATGGTGGTCTCATGATGATTTATATATGATGATGGTGATGTAGGAAGAATCAGCTAGTTGGCTGTTCGACTGACACTCTGAAGTTCGGATTGTATTTTGTGTGCCGACCAGATGGTGGTGGTCGGTGCAATGGAAAGTACAGTAACGACGATTTTTGAAGTAAGGTTTAGTTTCGTTTTTTATTTTTCTCATTCGTTCATTTTATCACTCAACCTTTTAAATTATTCTTCTATTAATTGATTCGTTAATTCATTCTATTCATTAATTGAATCATTGATTTATTAATTAATTCATTCATTCACTCATTCATTCAACCAATTATTCAATCATTCAGTTAATCATTTATTCGATCGTTCCTTTGTTCCTTGATTTACTAATACGCTATTAAAAAATGTCTACAGAATGATGAGAGGTGGGCTGTGGTGGGCATCAGCACGTTTCAGATGGAGGTCTCATGATGATCGTTCCGATGACAATTCGAAGATAACAACAACGACGGTTTTTGAAGTATGATTTAGTTTCTTTTTTTTATTTTTCTCATTCATTCATTCATTTTATCACTATCTTTCAAATTATTCCTCAGTTAATTTATTCATTGATTCGTTCTATTCATTCATTA